GATTATATTTGCAACGACCGCTTAGTCCTTTTTATAAGGCATAGTTGGGCGTGATCAAATTCTGGCGTCGTTGCCGGAAAACTAATAGTGTAGCTTTAGTTGTACATATTGCTAGGTTTCAAGCATGAACTTCTTTTTTTTTTTAGTATTTGATTATTTTTTAATTTTTTTTTTGACTTGAGAGACATGGCATGTTGGAATTATGAGAGTTTTAATATTGGTAATTCTACTTTTGATCCGCCTTATATATATAGTGGAGGAAACCACCCATGGCAAAATTATCAAAATATTCTCTACAGCGAGTTATGTGCACCAACTCAATCTTATGTGTGAAATGTGTGTGATATGTGTGGTAGTCAAGATGGTCAATTTCATGGTTGTGATTATATGTTTTGTCCTCTCCTAACCCCTTATTATGATGGTTCTACTTTTTCTTGTGAGGATAACAGGAACAAAAAACCTAGGGAAGCTGACCTGAAGGAGATCAAAGATATGTTAAAGTGCCATGTGGAACAATATGATGAGAAACCACGGCAGATACAAAGGCAAGAGGAAACTATTCACCACTTGGAGGCTCAAGCGAATAAACTAATTGAACCTTGTAAAACGCAACAAGCTTACACTGTGGATAGTAGCCGAGAAGAGCATGAATTGGCTGCAAAAATTGCCATTATAATGGAGGTTTAAAAATAAATACGAGGAGGTTCTAGTGGAGAAGGCCAGAGTATAACACCAATAAGCAACCGAACTAGATTTTGAGGATACCGATGTTGTAGAAGAGATACTAGAGTCAACCAAGGACATTGATGATACATGTTTAGTTGACTCTAGTGTCATTGGTATTGAGGATGTTGACAATCCTAATGTTCATGTAGTTGAGCGTATTAGTCCACACTCCAAGCATTTTTCCACATTGTGTTTGGATGATGATATAGAAATAGAGTCATCTGAGTCACTTGAGGAGTCAAGGAATAATGAACAAGATGCCTACATTCTGGAATTCTTTTTGCCATAAAGTCGGGAATACACATCTCATCTAAAGGCCAAGAAGTGCAGAATACTACATTATTTTATTGGGCCAGTCAGATTCGTTCCACCACCCCAGGAGCATGATCATAGAGCAAAATCAAAACTTGGGGTCCAATTCATAAGTTCAAAGTGGAGCCAGAAAGTGATTCATGCCGTGCCGCGACGTTAAATCAAGCGCTTGTTGGGAGGCAACCCAGCTTTACTACTTTCTTTTATTTTTTTAATTGTATTATGTTTGTAGTATCGATTTTTGATTTTCTAGGAGCATAGAAAGCAAAGCTATTGGAAGGATGCAACAACAAATCAGATGGGTGGAACTAAGTGTGAGGTACCCGCACGAAGGACCAGGCATGTGAGAAGTCTGAGTACCCCATGAGCTGCTAGTACTTCGGCATTTGGCCTATCAGGGAGTTTGTGGGTGAGTTGTGAATAATGTGTGGTACTTGTAAGTCTGTTTGAGGTGAAGATGTTACGCTTTTGTGCTTAGTCTATTTTAAATAATCTTGGTGTGATGAGTTAGGAGAATTATTTAAAGAGGTCGTGTCTATATAAAGTATAGTTTGATTGCTAGAGGACGAGCATTGGTTTAGTGTGGGGTATTGATAATAGGCTATAATTACGTATTTTAGTCGCTTATTACACTCTAATTTACTGCGCTTTAATTGAGTTTGAGCTTTAATCGTTAGTGTTTGACACTAATTGTGTGTTGTATGCCTTGTAGGAGTGATTCCGAGCTATGTAGATATTATGAAATGAATTCAAGTGATTTGGAGCTTTGAAATCTGAGTAAAAGCCTAAGGAATTAAGCCGGTATCGTGTTCGGGGATCAACGGATGATAGTTAAGAACGAACGAAGAATCGAGCAGGCATACTGCGCACTGTCTACTAAAATACATATAACTTTTCGCTCAGAACTCTGTTTAGGCTCGACAATATATTTTTGGAAAGCTAATTCAAAGCGCTACAACTTTCATGTTTTACATTTTTTTAAATTCCCAACAGAAGAGGGTGAACATTGCACGGAAAATGCGCAGTCGCACACTAACCGTGCATATGGGGCAGAAAGTGTGAAAAGTGCGCGGGCACACTTCCAGGTGCGCGGCCGCGCACGTCCTGTCCTGAAAAAGTATCATTTTTTGCGTAGGAGAAGGTATAATTGTTTGGGCCCGACCCTACTTGGTATATATACATGGAAAACAGTATTTTGAGGACTTTGGACATAATTTTGACCTAAGGAGGCTAAGGAGAACTTTGGAGGAGACCGAAGATTCGACCTAAGGAGGCAAGAACACACTAGGAGCAAGGCGGAGAATTCTTCTATGAGTTTTTCACTTCCTTCTTCCTATTTCCATTATTGGTTATGAATCCTAGTATTGTAGTTATGCATACTATTATGAATAGTTAATTTGTTATCTAGAGTTTTGATAGAACCTTTTGTAGGATAAATTCTTTTATGTTTTTATATTATTGAGCCGTAGCTTTTTCTCAAAAAAACAAAAACTAGTTTTGCACGAATTCAAGTAATCAACCTTCAGAAATATTAAATAACGATTTGAATGTTTACTAACTAAGAGCAAAATAATTGAAATGTAGTAATTTATTACTAACAGAGCAAATGTTGTCTATAAGATTTGGAAAAGTCTAGGGTTCTGGTTTTTCCTATTGTAGGAATCCTCCCGGCTACATTTTCTATAAATTCGCCTAAGTATTCTCTACCGATCGTGAGTACTTTGGTGTCGTAATTCTCTTCCGAATAACTACCACAATTTACTAGACGTATTCTTCCGAACTACACTAGCTGACATTAATTTACCGCTCACTATGATCACACCAAGGTTTCGCTATTCCTAATCTCACCTTTAAACTTTTCGTATTGATTCCTCATATACGTTAGGAGTGATGTTGTTCAACAACTACCTCGATGTGTACCTTTTTTCAAGCAATACACACTAAATAGGCACAGTCAATTGAGAGCTCTACAATCAATCATAATGAAAACATAGTTGAACAAGTAGAGAAAAATCAAAGGCTAATTTATATTAAACGTAATAGAAAATCATCCTCCAATAGGTTCCATCAAACCCAGATTGGAGAGTTTAGCTACTCATAAATGTATCAACAATCATCCTGATGTTCAGAGACATTAAACTACAAAGTAAAGAGATAAACGGAGGGAAAACTCGTTTGATTCTTGCTCCACAGTGCTCTGTAGCCTTTTTCTTCTCCAAAATAGTGTCCAACCCTTTTCCCACTCATTTAGGGAGATTTATATGTTAGGGCTGAAGTACTTGAGTCCAAATCCGGGTGGAGTCTCTTAACCCGCAACTTTTGATCACCGGGCTATAGACCTCGCGAGGCCAGGCTTATAGCGCGGTCAACCTGGATACAGAGCTGGCTACGCCTAGCCTGTAGCGCGGTCAAGCTGGCTATAGAGCTGGCTATACTTGACCTGTAGCACGGTAAAACGGGCTATAGAGTTGGCCATGCTTGGCCTGTAGCACGACTTGGGTACTTGGTGATTTGTTTGCTCTTTTCTTGCATTATCGTCCTCTTTTCGTGTAATTTTTATTCGACTCGTTCTTCCGATGCTCCTACACATAAAACAACATAATTTAGCTCAAATATCGTACAATTAATAACTAGACCAACAAAATGTAAGTAATATACTAAAAGTATAGCATTTTGGCCAAATATCAACCACCATCAGTGTTCTTTGATGTGAAAGTGTCCCGAGAATAGATTATTTCAACTAAAATTTCAGTTACGATACCAAAAGACCTAACTTACACTTCATACAGTATAAGTCATACCGTTCTATTCACTTCATTTACTGTATGATTTCATACTTCTTTCTGAGGAAAAGTAAAAACAAAAATCTAAGTATATCAATGGCTCAAGAGATGCAACCACGCTATGGAGGATCTTCTTTGCTGGTCTTATCAACCAAGGAATTTAAAAATCTTCCACTATACTATCAACTTCTATTTCTCCATTGTGTCTATTTCATTTCTTCATTTTTTTTTGATAGGTATGATCTGCTTTCCTTATAACAATTAAAAATAAATAAATTCATAGATGCACAACCACTGTCTTGATTCAAAATTACTCGATCTTTCAGTCTTGCAAAAACTATTTCAAAGTTTGGACTAACACGAATACCTCATACACGAATGACTTTCAATGCATTTTAAGGCAGTGTTCGATATTGTTCACCTGCAACAAAATCATCAAGACATGGCGACAATGTTCCTTCATCCCAGACTCGAATGTTAGTGTGCAAATGCAAATAATACCCACCCCCACACCATATGTTAACGCTAAACAAAATTCTACCACAATTTCCTCGGTTATTTGAAACTTGACCGTTTCAAAGACATATTTCGGATTGCTCCATCAACTTCAAGAAAATATAGCAGTGGATAACATATGAAGATACATATATATATCATGTGGTTTAATAGAGACCATTTCGCTTCTCTAGCTGATATGGATATGGTAAAGCTTGTAAGGTAGGACAAGATCTTTAGGTCCCAACTTATCCTTTTTTTCTTGAAAACAGTGGTGTCTAGGCCGGAAAGGGGTGATTTAGGGGGCGCAAGGGTGATCACCCGAATCCCCTTCGCCGAAAAATTACACTGTGTATACAAGGCAAAATCTGGTTTTTGCCTCTATATATTATGTTTTGAATCCTCTTCACATAGCCCAAAAGCATGGCTTAGTGGTCAAAGGGGTTCAAAACTATTATGAGGTCATTGGTTCAATTCCCCCACTAGCTACAATCTCTTTAAATTTTTTAACTTATTCCTTTTTGAACCCCCTTAGCACTTAGCAAAAGTCCTGCCTCCGCCAGCTTGCACGCACCTAGACTAATTCATCCCAACCTTACATTTGAACTTTGATTAATGAGCCAATGCCCCATATTTAGAGACTAAATTCATAGGGGAGGGCCTAAAAAATGGCATAAGCTACTGTAGATCACAACCATGGGAATCAGCTAATAGCAGTTTAAGTTTGCAAACAATACATTCCTCAATGTACAAACACAACTTGAATTGTCATAAATTCAAGACTGTATTTTTTTCTTTTTCCTGTCTGCTATAAACGCCTCTACATTTATTCATCTAGTATAAAGTATATGAATCATAATACAAGAGAAGTTTCGTTCATAAGAATAGTGTCGTTGAGGTCATAGATTTATCAAGCTAAAGGACTTCACAAATTCCTTATTCTCCCAACCACTCTTCTAATTTCGCCTCTTTATCAGCTTTAAATTCTTCAAAGTTTTCAGATAAAGACAGCAGGTGATCATGAGACATGCTTTTGTTTACCTGTCCTTGTTGTATCTCATCAGCAGTTTGCCTTGACAAGCTTAAGTCTTCACTATTGGCCTGTCCAAGTGAGGAAGAAGAGCTCGCATCTGCAGCTAATAGCGTGTCATTTGTATGCGTTATAGATGGCTCATCCCTGTCCGATAAAGATGGTTCGCTCTTGGCTGGTCGAGATTCTCCAGACTCTAACTGAGGCCACTTGAAATTACTAGCCTTTTGTTTTGCTGACCTGAAAACAGTTGAAAGATAACCAGCAGCCCTCTCATCATCGTCTTCTGTACCTGTATTGCGACCCCAAGTAGCAGGACTCCAAGGGGTAGTAATACCTACTGGGAAACTTGAACGGGGTCCGCTAATTAATCCTTTTTTTGGTTGCTTCTTTGAAATGACAGCTAGACTATGTTTGAGATCTTTAATCATCTCGTTAGCAATCGGAAGGCCACACTCTTTCATTGACCCAATCACGATGATGGAATCCTCTAAGTCTTCTGTCTGCAGAGTCATTTCATGGGATTTCTCCTCAATATTGTTTTTGAGATTTACAAGGTTGGGCGCTGCTTTCTGGGTGTGCTGTTGAATATAGAAAAGCCCCACAGCAGGCTCGTTTGCAATGAACTTTATCATGTCCGTCAAGGATTCAGTTATCTCTACAAAGCCATCCACTGTGGAAAATTCATGCATTTTTTTGAAGTCCAACAGTTCATCATCACTGGTGGGGCAAGAAAATAATGAGAGAGCTTCTTCTTAATGAATAATCCAGCAGTTGGAAATGGAAAATTTTCTAACATGTAAGAATGAGAATAATTGAAGTTGGTGGTCAGAAAAAATAATTTTGCAGATATATACATGCAGGTATTAAATGTATCAAATGCCTATGGTAAATTTGCTTGTTCCTTGTAAATATGGGGGACTACACACCCTTTGTGTAGTTTGTTATAAATATACAAATAAGTTACCTTCTCAAAAAAAAAAAAAAAAAAAAAAAAAAATTTTTGCTTGTTCCATTTGATGTAATAAATTTAACCCAACTTTTGTGGGCAAAAGTAATTTTTTTTCCTTTCATTTCTCTGGTAAACGGAGCAAATAAATATAGGTCGGAGTTACAGTAAACATGGCCGGTTCAAATACACAGCAATCAGGCAACCATATTAACTTCAATCCATAAGGCAACCTAATTTAAATTACTCATAGGACATCCCTGATCTTTATGAGTAAGTTGACAAGATAACGTAGTGGTTTGAATCACAAGCTGTGAAGTGCCATAAGTTCTTTCCGACTGGGATTAGGGGAGTTATGATATGGAAGAAATCTCAAACGTACTAATAGGAAAAGTTATGGCGCACCAGTCTTCAATGGTCAGCAACAGAGACAAACTGCTTCCCTATATATAATTGTTCCAAAAAGGAAACTCTAAATATTTCTTCTCTACAATAAAAAGTCATGCTAACTCAGGCTCTTTCTGCACACCAGAGGTAATATGAAATGCACTTTCCTGTCCCTAGCACGTAGCATTACAACTATCGGTTTTGCAGATCACTAATCTTTCACCAGCTCAAGACACCATGAACGAATATGGGCATCATCGATATAGCATACTAGTCGGTTACCACCAATGGAAAGGAGAGAGATGAGACTCTTCCATCAGCACGTTAACTTAAGACAGCTAAGTTCTATTCTGCTCAATCCAACATCTTTTTCAGGCAAAGAAAGCAGGAATTAAAAATATATGCAATTTTGAGTGATAGATTTAACTGGGGTAGCAACTAGATAACACATCCTGAAGAAAAAATGCATCAAAGAATGGAGTGGACTGGTAAGTAAGATCCAGAATTTAAGATCTATGATCCCGCAAAAAGAAAGCAGAAAAGACAATACACATGCACTCTTGACATTCTTTTGACAGATCCAACTGATCTAAGGAACAAGTACACCTAAAAGAAGGAAGTGATGAGATAAAACCACGGAAGACTTAAAGAAGCTACAGAAAATAGACATGACGTGCCAGATCACTTCAAGTTTCCTTTCCACATAAATAACCCCCAAAGTCATTTTCATTACAACTTTCTATTTGCTGCACTCTTTTGTCTCCTTCAATATCAACTAGTAACCTTGAGACGGGTTTCTCTCTTGGCAGTTTAGCAGATAGACCAAGTAATATGAATTACAGGCACTTCTAAGAGGAGATTGNGAGTAGAAAACCATCCTTAGAATCATCAGCTATACCATGACAGACAAAGGATTACAGGGTTCAATTAACCAAAGCATAAACAACGCCCAAACAATTGTTTTATCTACCTCGAGAGCAATATATGTTTATATGTCTTGGTTCTTTCAATTTGAACATAAGTTACAGTCTCAAAACATCAGGAGCTTGAAACTTGATCAGAGTAGCATTTGACTTTACTATTGCAATTTGACTTGTTTCCATTTATTAACATTTCTATTTTTCTTTAGATCTTTAGATATTCATAAGCTGCATATGCAGTTGCATTTTTTTCCTTATCTTGTAAGAACATATTATGTATTCTTGGCACAACAACGAGCAATAACAGATAACTTTTATACAATGCAACTTATGGTCTAATAGAAATCTCAATTAAGTAAATATTTCCTAACCAAAAGTAAAAAGAGAGAAAAAGGATTATAGTTCCTAATTTTTTTCCCACAAGTATCTTACTTGAACATAGATCATGTCCACCGAATACTGACAAGCTGATTTGAGGTTGATAAAATACTATTATTTGCACAACCTGCAGAACAAAGTAGGTAACCATCATTTTAACATCCATAATTCATACTCCATTCGGTCAAATTTGGAAATATTTCCTTAAATATGCAGAGAGAAGAAACTGCAGGTGTTACATAACAAGGTCATCGATTCAGCACAGCTAATTCTACTATTCCAGTTTTTGCAAGAATCCACTTAGAACTGTTCTGGAAAGAAAACTAGCTGAGAGTAAAGTAACATAAAAAGAGATCTTTTTAAGAGGAGAAGGTTGAGATGGTTCGGACATATTAAGAGGAGAAGCACAGATGCCCCACTCCGGAGATGTGAGAGGTTGGCCTTGAGAGGTGAGAGGAGGGGTAGAGGTAGGCCAAAGAAGTCTCGGGGAGAGGTGATCAGGCGGGACATGACGCAGCTTGAGCTAACCGAGGACATGACCCTAGATAGAAGGGTGTGGAGGTTGAAGATTAGGACAGAAGATTAGTAGGTAGTCGTGCGTTTACCTTTGTCTTCTCTAGTTCGATATTATTAGTGCTAGTACGGTACCCTTTTTTTCCTTAGTTTGCTATTCACATGTCTTGTTCCGTTATTACTTGCTATCGGTAATTCCATAGTTTGCTAACAGTACTTCGTTCATATTCTCGTTTGCTGCCTTGGATTTAGTTTTCTAAATATATTATCTTGCTATTACTTGCTATCAGTACCCCTTTCCTATTCTCTGTTGCTATCTTCGATTTAGTTTTCTAATTATTTGTTTTGCTATCAGGGTTTCTTTCACCTTCTTTAGCCCCGAGAGTCTATCGGAAGCAGTCTCTCTGCACTTCCAAGGTAGGGATAAGGTTGTGTACATCCTACCCTCCCCAGACCCCACTTGTGGGATTATACTGGGTGGTTGTTGTTGTTGTTGTTTCTGCTTTGTTTACACCTTAAATTCAAGGTTTTTTAAAAAAACAAAGACAATACAAGTACAAAAGAACCAAGAACCAACAACGACTCAATGTAAACCCACAAAGTGGGGTCAGGGAGGGTAGAGTGTATGCAGACCTTACCCCTACCCAACGACAATAGAGAGACTGTTTTTGATAAACCCCCGTCTCAAAGAAAAATGAAAAAGAAACAGAAAAAACAAGCAGTAACAATAGCAAGCAAGATAAGATGATAGAGTAACTGAAGGGAAAGAAACAACATATAGTAAAAGAAATTTGCGGATACGAAGATACGAGACTAATACCAATGCTACGGGCAATGTACCGTTCACTGATTCTAAATTAGATCCTTTTTAGATTACATTCTTGATTTTTCCTCTATCAATGCAAATCTATAGCCTGTAAAACTGAAAGAGGAAGAAAAAGAAAAAACCAAGATTCTATTTGACCTCGAGAAAACCTAAATTACCACAAAAAACAAGTGAACAGTACACCTCAATTAATCAATCAATCAACGAATATCCAACAAAATATAACAGAAATCCACTTCGCAAAAAACAATTTTTTAGCTCAAATTTTCTATCAATTAGCCCAAATAAACAAAAACAACACAAGAATATTATCCTCTCTTTCCCTAAACTCCCATAGATAGCAGAATATATCAAAATAAAGTGTAAAGTCATATAACTTACAGATCAAACTAGAAAAGAATAAGCTAATCTGAATCTTCCTTCAGCCCGTTGATGCAACGTACAATTGTATATGTCTGTTTAATTAATGTAGTATTATTATTATATGTACAGAATTAGGTATTTGTCTGTACTTTGACGCAAGTGAAAATATCAGATTTTGAAACTTAACCCGAAAAGGACAGCTACTTTTCCTTTTCCTTTTCCTTTCTGGTCGTTGTTTTGATTACCGTTCCAAAATCCAAACTAGGATTTACATTCAACGGCTTTTTTACCGTCCATTGGTATCATTGTTGAGATAGGACTTTGAATAATAGGGTACAACCCAAATAGCCTAATGTACTGTAGCTGATTAGCTGGTTGACATTTTTGTTGAATGTCAATAATGGCCCCTGACTTGTAATTTATTAGTTAAAATTCCAACTATATACGAGGTAATATAACAAAACCACGGGATCAAATGGTTTTTTGGCTCTTTATAAACTTATTTTTAGTTTTATAATTCTGTATTTTGTTTTTTTATACATAGGAGATTTACTTTTACACGTAAGAGATCTGTCTTTTACATAAAAGAGATCTAAAAATATCATTTTCTTAAATTTAAAATTATAAATGAGCATGATGTATAAATAGTACCACGCAACTGTGTGATGAAATGATAAATGTCTATTTGAAGTTAACCAATGTACTCGAGCTCGGGAATGGAGTTTCTTTTGACATGTAACGTTTTATCATATTTCCACGTTAAGTGATATCTAACAATGTTATAAAGTATATAAGTTTTAATAGTACAAAAATGTAATTTTACAAAACAGTTGTATATTGCATGCCAAAATCTATACAAACAATGGTAACATTACTAGTTTGTATCCTTTGTAATGAAAGATGTAGAGGTGCATGCCACACTCACGAGGGCAGAGAAGTTGACGAAGCAGCGTGTTATAAATGAAGATAATCTCATGATGGGCACATTGAAAAAATTAGCAAATTACATATGGGACCCGACACGTGAAGAAGGGATTGGGCAAATGGAGAACTAATAAAATAGTAGTAGGCTAGATGAAATTAGGTATGCCATTATTGATAGAGTTGTTTTTGTTTCTCATCCCCTATTTATTTGAACAAAAGGTGTCGAGCTTTTTGTTAAATTAATTAATAATGAAATAGAGAGTGAATCCTAGTTAAACAAAATAAATTCTAGATCTAATACTGGAAAACACCAACGATATGGACAATGTTTAAAAATAATGAATATCGGGTATGAGCTCAATGATTGTCAATAAATATATGATAAGAACATGCAATAAATGTAGACAATTGCAATAAATGTAATAAGAGGGAATTTATCACCCAAAATTATATGACTTGGATGATTCTTCCACCTGACAGTAGCATGGAAGGATGGGAAATGAGGATGGATAAGGAATCTTTGGATCTTACAAATGTGGATTGAATAGCAAATGTTGAGCAATGTCGTGAGTGAACAAGACAACTTTT